AAATTATCGTAAATTTTGTATAAAGGAAATGAACAATTTCCGTTTAACAGTTATTCTTTGAAAGTGACCTAGCTGTTCAGTGAGTAATTTTCCTGCCAAAACTTTTAAGTGCCCATACGTAAGAACCAGGAACGCCTGGAGGCTGGTTTTGAAACATTTATGTTGCACTTAGACAAGAAACATTACCCTAAAATTTCAGCTTTCCATCTTTTCTGATTCTCGAGTTAGTAATTCTTCCACTGAAAATTTTAGATGCCCGTACGCAAGTACCACGCTTCCCAGAGAAAAAGGGGGAGGGGCTGAATTTGAAATTTTAAGTTGTACGTGGACGGGGAATAAATCTTTAAAATTTCAGCCTTCCAGCTCTTCTGATTGCCGAGTTAGCAGTTTCTCCGAAGAAATTTTCACGTGCCCGCACATGAAAACCAAGCATAACTAGGAGCTGAATCTGAAATCTTTAACTCACACATGCGCAGAGAATATCCCTGCAGTGTTTCGACTCTCTGTCCTTTCTAATTCCTGAGATCGCTTTTCCGCCAAAAAATTTGTATATTTTTTTAAGGCGCCCGTACACGGCAACTGGGCATACGCGAGTGATGAAATTAAAACGCGAGAGCAGCAGAGATGCAACCAACGCTGGCATATACTCTCGAAGTTTCAACCTTCTAGCTCTTCTTGTTCTCAAGTTGAAAGCGGTGTGTCAAAAAGTGCGAACACACAGACATTGACAGCCTCTTGCCAATATACATTTTTGCAATTTGCATATATGCAAAAACGCACAATAAAAATAGAAGTAAGACTTAAAACAATACCATCCATTTCGCGCTGCAGTTGACAGAGATCACCAGCTGTCTTGCCCTCCACATCGATACCACAATGATCGCTATCCTGAAATCCCGAATACTACTCTTCAACGTGCCAGCTCCAGAACCAGAGTGAACGTGCAACAATCATTTGTTCAAGGAAGTTTCACAACAGATATTCTTTAGCTGAAGTTATTAAATAAAAATTTTCCAGCAGACGTCCAAGGGTATCGCTTTGCAGGACAATTTTTTTTTACCATTTGCAATAAAAATCACAGCGTATCAGACTTTATTTCTCTTTCCACTCTTTCTTTCATACCCAGCTCGAATTCCTATCATTTTTACCTCTCGTCCTTAATTCTCTATTGGGTTTTTATGGTGTGCATTA